TGTTCTTCCTGACGTTTCGCCAGTCTCTGTGGTCGGCATCTTCAGAGGACTGGAGTGGGAACTCTGTCCATGCTCTGCTGAAGGAGCAAAACTCAACAGAGCATGGACAGAGTTCCTACTCCAGTCCTCTGAAGATGCCGGCCACAGAGACTGGCAAAACATCAGGAAGAACAACCTTCAGAACATGGCCAAAGAACCTGAAAAACCCACAAGAACCATCAAATTTTACTTTCTTGGGCTCCATGATCACTGCAGATGGTGACAGCAGCCATGAAATTAAAAGATGCCTGCTTCTTGGGAGGAAAGCGATGACAAACCTAGACAACATGTTAAAAAGCAGAGACATCACCTTGCCAACAAAGGTCTGCATAGTCAAAGCTATGGTTTTTCCAGTAGCGATGTAAGGAAGTCAGCTACATGACTACAGAAGATCTCCATAACTTTAATGTTGACAATGAAACTGAAATTGTTAAAAGAATCTGTACATTTTGGTTCAATTATCAAACAAAATAGAGACTGCAGCCCTTAAATCAGAAGACTGAGACCCAGGAGGGTAGGTATGAAAGAACTAAAGAAAATAACCCAATGCAAAAGTGAACTCCAAAAAAAGTCCCATCAGCAACACCCCGAAGAAGGAACAGCTGTGGTTCCTTTCTTGAGTCATACCATCTCATATGAGGTCCTCCTCTCGTCCTATTACTTTCTCCTTTCCCTCGCAGCTTTTTCCAGCAAGGCTCCCCTTCGACAAACATTCCCTTGCGAGTAAAACCCACTGGACGCAACTGGACTCCCTTCCACGCGAGGGACTAGATGGCTCTTAATCTCGACCCATATAATTTGCCTGGCAGGAAAGCCCACTGACATGGGCCTTAGTGACCATTAGACATGCGAAGGGTGGGGCCACAGCTGTCGTCACTCCCGCCCCCCCCGCCTCCATTTAAAAATCACCACAACTGGGCGGTGGGGGGGGAGGAAATCTTACCTGGGACTAACGGTCTTCGTGAAAGACCTTCTAAAGCAACCGCCGTTCCTTTCTTACTTAAGTGTAATCTTTACCTCAACACTCCTTCCCACCTGCCTACAACCAATAGGTAACTTACATCAATACGTAGTCGATGCCAGCCTCCACCAATCAGAAAGCTTCATGCTTGAGGCAGCGCGACGTCTCCTGCCGTCGCCTTACTAGGACGTGGCTGAGGAACGTTGACCAATCGGCGTTGAGAGGGGGCGGTGGCTTTTTCTTTCTTTTAATCAAGGTCGCCAATCAGAGAGAAGCGCGTGCTGGTTCTTGAGGGAGCCTCTTCCTGGCCTTGGCCTTTTGCCGCCGCCGCCGCTGCTGCTGCTCTTGAGGCGCTTCTGAGGGGAGGCGATGATCGACCCGCAGAAACGGAAAGCTCCCGCTTCCGACATGACTTTGGTCGCGGCGGCCTCCGGGGCGAAGAAGCCCCGTCACGAGCTGGTGTTGGGGTCGGGCCCCGGGGCAGGGCAGCCGCCGCCGCCGGGCGCCTTATTGCAAGCGGTGAGTCCGTCCGGAACAATATGTCGGGCCTCCTCCCCGGTTCCCCTGCCGTCGGCGGGCCCGCGGATGCGGGGGCGGGACTGAGGGGCGGGCAGAGCCGCTCTCTCAAGACGGTCCGAGCATTTCTACAGTTCAGGCGTTAGTCATAAATCTTTACCGCTAATACGACTTCTAGGGGTGGGGGTGGGGTAACGATGATGACAAAAGTAACGGCAGATGATGGTGATGGTGGTGATTAAATTCCCCCCCTACGTTGTGATAAGAAAGAAATCACTTAAGTTAAATGGCAGGCTGCAATGTTGGCGGAGAGAGGCTTTTCTCTTGGTGCCTGTTCCCTCGTTTTGGTTTCACGGAGTTAGTATTAGAGAAAAAAAAGTCCTGTGGATATGCTGCATGTTTATGCTCGTGTTATACGTGCTTTTAGCTTATTTTATTACACTCTTAGTTACTTGCAGCATTCCTTCATCAATTTTTCGTCTACCAAGTCTCTAAAAGTATTTTATTTAATTTTTAATTATCAAAATGCTTCTGTTTTTTCTCCTGGAAAGGAGCCAAGGCAGCTTACAGCTAAAAACAGTAACTTTTATTATAGTGTGAAGAAAATTAAATACTTATAGGTGACAGTTTAATATTTGAAAAGTTCACTATTCAAAGCAAATTAAAATAACATTTGAAAGTATGTTTAAAGCATTCTTCAAAAGATAGTTTTGAAACAATTAATCCTAGAGACCAAAGACCTTTAAGGGGTACAGTTTTAGCCACTTGTTAGATCCTGAACAGAGACAGAGCTGACTTAACTTCTAAGAGGAGGAAGCTCCATAAAGCGGATGCTGCTGTAAGAAAAGTTATTGTCTTGAGTACCTGACAACCCACCCTGTTAAGCTGGTGGGATATGTAACAAGGCCTCGCTTCAGGACCTCAGACTTTAAGTACTGGGCAGTTTAGGTCATTATGGATCAAAACCAGCACATCAAATTCAACTTTGAAGCAAATTAGAAGCCAGTGCATTTCATTCAAGACCATTGTTATATGGTTTCTAAATCATGTGTCATATAAATCTGGCTGCTACAACTTCAGAAGGACAGCCCCAGGTACAGTGTCAGGTACAATGTACTGTATTACAGTAGCCTGATAGGAAGATAATTAAGGCACTGGCCAATGTAGCAAATTTGTTCTCCATAGATGGGGGTGCATCATCCAATGCTAGGCAAAGGTACAAACAGCAGCAGAAGGTATCTGGTTTTCTCAGGGCAGTCCTAGGTCCAGAATCAAGCCCAAGCTGTGAACCTGATTCTTTGGAGGAGTGCGACCCAGCTGAAAACAGGCTACAATGTCAAACCCAAATTGGTCGGTCATTCATTCATTGTTTCAACTTGTAGACTAATCCAATCAACAAAACATCTTGTCCAGTTCGCTCGGCCACATAAATCTCTCCCTGCATCCAAGAGATTGGTCTTAATGACTTCTCGAAACAGTTTCATGTAAATTTTTGCTTAATATTTTTTATTTATTATTTCATTTATATGCTCTTGTTCTGTCCAGAAATACCCAGGATAGTGTACATTGTAATTAAACAAATAGTCAAGACATATAACAAATAAACAATGTACAGTAAAACAGCAGAAGTGGTTCAGGTAAGCTGAGAAAACACAAGTAAAAAATAAAGTAAAAATAACATTTTAAACAATTAGCATTTGCAGACATGCCAAAATATTTTTGCTTTATATCACTCTTATTATGAACCCCTGAAATAACATTATACTTCATAGGGACTCGGGGAAAAGAGGTCCAGATAGTGAGGCAGCGTCATGGGAAGGTCTTTTCTTACTAACATTTGAGCTAAACTGTTGCACCTTCAGAAGGGTAATCCCAAAAAAATTCAATTAACTCAGGGACTTATACAGATTGGGATAGTCCAATAGGTATGTGGGACCCAAGCCATGTGAGGTTTTAAAGGTTATAACCACAATGGTGAATTAGACCCAGGAAACCACTAGCAACCATTGTAAATGGTGCCAAATAGGTATTATATGAGCTTAGCAGGAAGCATTTGTCTATAGTCTACCTGCAGCATGCCGTACCACTTGAAGCTTCTGAGTTGCTTTTAGGGTAACCCTAAATAGAAGCAAATTACAAAAAGTTTAATCTTGTGGTTGTGAAAACATGGATTGGCATGCACTATCTGCCCTCTCTAGATGGGGAGAAGGTATCCAGACCAGAAAGAGGTGGTCACATGCTTATTTGATCAGGATACCCACATTTTAGAATGTTTTAAAAGTATAGGGACTAGAGATGGGCCTGAATCCGTGGTTTATGCCAGTTTGTCATTTGGACAAATAGGTGTTTGGCTCTTCCCAGCCCCACCTCCTCTGACAGGTGCCCTCTCAGAGGCAGCAACTGGAGAAGGTGGAGCAGGGAAGCCAGGACACTGACCCTCAGTGGGTGCCCGCCAGAGGAGCTGGAAAGCACCAAACACCTGTTCATCTGAAGGACAAACTGGTACTTTGTGCCTACCTTTAATAGGGAAAATACTGAGTTCTGACAAACTCCATAAGGAAGCTGAACAGTAGTCCCTTGGCCCCACCTTTTGGGAGTGTTTCACCAGATAGGACTGGAAGCACTGCAAAATGTTGGCTTCAAGTCCCATACAGTATCATCCAAATGGTCCAGAAGGACACCATGGTCAGTGGTATCTAATGCTCAACCAACAGAGACACTGTCTATTCATAAAGGCTGTTTTGGTTGCAAAACCAGCCTGGTTGGATCCAAGTTCTCAATTTCATCCAGGAAAGCCTTGACTTATGCTGCCACTAACTCGGTGACCTTACTTAAGGAAGGTTAGATACTGCCCTTTAATTATCTAAAATACTAGTTTTATAATTCATATAAAGTAGACTGCAAGCAGACCTGATAGTATATTTGAAAGATAAAGAATACTTTAAAATAGTAAACAAGAAGATATAAATGCAGTTTTAAACCTTGTTTTACTATTTGTCTCTGCTTCTCTGTGTATCTGTATATCAGAAGTCATCAACAGTGGCCTTTTAGCTGTTTTCTGAAACTTCTGAATTGTTCACTGTATTAATAGATCTAGTGATAGTTGTAGGCCAGTGACATATGCCTGCCTCTGCTCACTGTAGCCATATACTGTACATAAACAAGTGTGCTCATTCAGGGGGATGATAAAGGAAAGGAAGGGAGACAGAGGCTGTGGTTAAAAATTGTAAGACTACATTGTTGTTTGTCTTGTACATTCTTAGGTTTAATAATTTCTATGTAATATTAATTCTATCAGTGTACCTGCAGCTTTCTAGAGTAACAAATAAGGATAGCTCTTTTCCCATACAGCTTGAGATCTAACAGTCATCCCAAAGAAGGCAACAGAGAGAAGAGAAAATGTGTCTGTCATGTTCTTATTCTCCAGCATATCAGCCTAACGTCAGATTTGATCAATCCAGACAACCTCCTAGGCATTTGAACATGCTCCCATTAAAATATAAAGGCCAAAAAAATTCCATCACATGCTTGGAGATACAATTTCAGTAGCTCCCTAAAGATAGCCAAACCCTATTACAAAACAGGGGAATTGTGTAAGGTCCCCCCCCAAAAAAATTTTCTGGCCATTTGTCATATTGGACACATGACCTGTGTATGCTCATTTCAAAAAAGTATGTGTACCATCAGGCTGTTTTTTTCTTTTCCCCTCTCTGCTATTGCTCAGATTAAGTAGCCAGTCAGTACTCATTTAAGAGTACTGCTACCTCTGCCAAAGGTGCACTGGAGAGGCATACATGACTGTTACTGTGAAACAAAGCTGATGTACAGGGCTGAAGGCATTGGTTTCCATTAAATTTTGCATTTGTGTATCAACTGTGTGGTTAGTTTATCATTACTGCATATAATTGAAACGTAATCATAGATGTATCAAGTTTTGGAATTGATTCAATAGTTACCTTTTTGTCCAAGATGTTAGGTAAAATGTTTGTCGACTGCTTTTAAGACTTGGATGGATTGATTCAATTTAAAAGAACAGTTTTCTTTACCTGTCTGTACAGATGCATGCACATTTATATCTTCTTAGATGTTTTGTATTTTTCATATTTTAGGGACCGCCACGGTGTTCGTCTCTCCAAGCACCTATAATGTTGCTTTCAGGGCATGAAGGAGAAGTTTACTGTTGCAAGTTTCATCCTAATGGAGCTACACTGGCATCAGCTGGATTTGATAGGTTGATATGTAAGCCAAATTATGGATTTATAACATAATAACTTTTTAAAATCCAGGATTAACACTTAATCAAAGAAGTAGTTTTAGTTAAATGCCTGCATTTGCATATGTCTAAAACTATATACGTGAGAGAACAACTACATTGTTTAATGGTGCATCTACACTGATCAGCCACAACATCAAAACCACTGAGAGGTGAATAGTATTGATTACCCAACTCTGGGAGGCAGTGGAAGACAGGAGGGCCTGGCGTGCTCTGGTCCATGGGGTCACGAAGAGTCAGATACAACTAAACAACAACAACATATAGTTACAATGGCAGCTGTCAAAGGGTGGGATATATTAGGCAGCAAGTGAACAGTCAGTTTTTGAATTTCATGTGTTGGAAGCAGAAAATATTGACAGGCAAAAAAGACCTGAGTGACTTTGACAGAAGCCAAATAGTGATGACTAGACAACTGGATCTAGCAACTAGACCTAGGCCTGCCAAGCTAGTAGTTCAAAAGCATGTAAATGCGAGTAAATGAATAGGTACCATCTTGGTGGGAAGGTAATGGTGTTCCGTGTCTAGTCACGCTGGCCACGTGATTACGGAAACTGTCTACAGACAAAACACTGGCTCCACAGTTTGGAAACGGGGATGAGCACCGCGCCCTAGAGTCAGACACAACTGGACTAAATGTCAAGGGGAACCTTTACCTAGACAACTGGGTCAGAGCCTCACCAAAATGACAAGTCTTTTGAGATGTTCCCAGTTTATGGTGGTTATTATCTATGAAAAATGGCACAAGGAAGGACAACCAGTGAGCTGGTTCCAGGGTTGTGGGCCCTCATTGATGCATGTGGGGAGTGAAGGCTAGCCCATCGGGTCCGATCATACAGTAGAGCTACAGTAGCTCAACTTGTTGAAAAACCCAATGTTGGCCAGGATGGAAAGGTGTCATAACACACAGTGCATCACAGTTTGCTGCTTATGAGGTTATATAGCTGCAGACTGGTCAGAATGCCCATGATGACCTCTGTCTTCCTCCAAAAGCAACAAAGGGGGTGGGAGCATCAGAACTGGGCCATAGAGCTGTGAAAGGAGGTTGCCTGGTCTGATGAATCATGTTTCCTTTTAGATCGGGTGGATGGCTGCACTCAAGTGCATTGTTTACCCAGGGAAAAGATGGCAGCGGGATGTACTGTGGGAAGAAGGCAGGCCAGCAGAGCCAGTGTTATACTCTGGGCAATGTTCTGTTGGGAAACCTTGGGTCCTGGCATTCATATGAATGATACTTTGGCATGTCCCACCTCCCTAGAGATTGTTGCAGCCCATGTACACCCCTTCATGGCTGTGGTGTTCCTGATAGCAGTGGCCTCTTTCAGCAGGATAATGCACCCTGCCACACTGCAAAAATTAAGGAACATGACAAAAGATATTACCTTGGCCTCCAAATTCCCCAGATCTCAGTCTGATTGAGCATCTGTGGGATGTGCTGGAACACCAAATCCAATCCATGGAGGCCTCACCTTGTAACTTGTAGGACTTAAGGGATCTACTGCTAATCTCTTAGTGCCAGATACCACAAGACACGTTCAGAGGTCTTATGGAGGCCATGCCATCCAATCCATGGAGGCCTCACCTTGTAACCTGTAGGACTTAATGCCTTGATTGATTTGATTTGATTTGTATCCCGCCCATCTGGTCCATACGACCACTCTGAGCGGCTTTGATGCCTTGATGCATCAGAGCTATTTTGGCAGCACAAGGGAGACCTACATGATATTAGGCAGGTGATTTAAATTTTGTGGCTGATCAGTATTTTGTAAACTGGCCAGAGTGGGCTGGGTTGCCAGATGGGTGGTATAGAAATATAGTGGTGCCTCGCTTAGCGATGTTAATTCATTCCAAAAAAATCGCTAAGCGAAACGTGGTTTCCCATTGAAATGCATTGAAAACCAGATAATCCGTTCCAATAGGAATGAATTGCCGTCCTTAAGCGAAAATTGCCATAGGAAACATTGCAAAGCGAAACGCGGTGCCCCAATTGAAATGCATTGAAACCTATTCAATGCATCTCAATGGGGAAAATAATACAACAAATTAAAAAAAAGCCAGAACAAAGGCAAATTTGGTTAACAAAGGGTTTATTAAGTGCACTTTATGATTTCAAACATTTTAAACAGTAAACGTTAACTTTATAAATAGCAGAAAAACATTTAAAAAACAGCAAACATGAGGCTGTTTAAACCATCGTTAAACGAAACAGGGGACCCAAAATTTAATCGCTATGCGAAGCATGGTCCCAACCATTGCTAAGCAAAAATTGCCCATAGGGACCATCGCTAAACGAAGCACAAAAACGCTCCAAAAAGTTGTCGCTAAGCGATTTTGTCGCTAAATGGAGCGCCCGTTAAGCGAGGCACCACTGTAAAATAAAATAAGATAAATATGTCACAATAGTGTTCTGTTTCAAGATATGTTTCATCCTGGGTGAGCGTGAAACAGTTTAACTCCTATCTTGTAGTGATTGCAGTCTATAGTTTTAGAGTGATCTATATTGAAAAAAGAGAGTTTCTTTAAAGTATATCCTGATGAACTGGAAAACATTAAAATTTAAACTCAATATTGGCTTCCTCAATACTTTCATCTTTTATCCATTATGTTGTTAACCTTGTTTTGTGCTAAGTATTTAAGCGCCTTGTGCTACAATGATGATTTGAAGCCATACTTGGATGCATTTCGGCATTATTTAAATCATGAATTAGGCTATGGTTCATTGAATTCAGTAGCAAAATCTTATTGATGTAAATTTGCACCGAGGAAGCCAGTTAATGTTATAATTTGAGCCAGTAAAATTTATATTAATTGAAAGCCTATCATACTTTTTGGTGCCAAGGCTTCCTGAGACTCCCTTTTTTCCCTGGAAAGCCTTTGGGAGCCCTGCGGGGGGGGGGGAGCCAAAAATTACCATTGACTCATCATTGGTGGCAGCAGTTCTGGTGGCAATTTTTCAATTACAGGTTTTTGAAATGCCACTGTACCGAGACTTTCAAAGACTTCCCCAGGGGAAAAGGGAGCTCTAATGGGTCTTAGAACCTGAAAGAGAGGAATATTTCAATTAATTTCAATTAATTTTTTACCAGCACTGAATGATAACATCTGGTCTCCATCTGCATCAAATTATTCAAGAAGGTTTTGCCCATTGGAAGCCGAGACAACAACTAACTTTGTCTGGATCAGGAACAATTTTAGTGCCATATCCCTGTATGCAAAACAGATTTCTTACTGTGTTGTCAGACTTTGTTGAATGGCTGCAGAGATCATCAGCTTAAATGATTAATTTGGATAAGAAAATAGCTGTAAGCTAATGCTGTTAACAAGCTGTCTGAGTGTGACTTTCGGAAGGCGGCTGGAAAACTATATCTATTATACTGCTGTAGGAGTTTTATTTAAGTACTTAGTCTATAGTTAGATTTCTGAACAGGTTCTCATATCTATAGCCTACAGTCCTTCTGAATGATATTATGTAATAAAGCATTCATACCATAGTACAGTTTCTTTGAAAATATTGTGATTTCCTCCCCCCATTGTCATAGCTAGAATGGAATTTTTCCTCAAGTGAAATCAGTGTGCTTGTATGGATGGCTGCCTACTAATAAATGGACTTTTAACCCTCTGTTTTTGGAAGTCATACCCATGTGAAGACTTCGGTGATCATTTATAAATCCAGAGCTGAAAATGCCACCTATGGTATTTGAGATATTTTAGGCTTTTTAAATGAAACAACTGCAATAATATTGTCAGTACTTACAATTTTTATGTTGTTGTTTTTAATTCCAGTACTGTGGAATGTATATGGTGACTGTGATAATTATGCCACTCTGAAAGGACACAGTGGAGCAGTTATGGAACTACATTACAATACCGATGGCAGGTTAGTAATCTATATATTTTTTAAACCAACAATTGTATTTTTGGTGGATTTTTCTTCTGTTTAATTAATTAGCAATGACTAAGCTGTTCTTGAGAGGATTTAGTTAAAACATTTGCTACTGATATTGGTTGCTAATTTTTCTGTCCTTGTAGACGGCTTTCCTTTTTAATATGGCAAGATATTTTATGGAGCTACCTTTCTGTGGCTTGATAAACAAAATAATAGGGCCAGAATTCCATTGAGGAATACTGCATGCATAAAGGCGATTGTGCAAGTTGTGTTTTTTCTTTTTCCTGTCTATCACTCAGCCAGGTACAGAACCCAAAGATGACTGGAAACTAGGGAGACAGCCTGCAGAATAGGTAGAATTATTTGCACAATTTCCCATTTGTAGTAGTGTGAAAAGGTAACTAAATGAGAATAACTATACACCATGACTGTATCCTTTACACAGCTGTTTTGATGACTTCCTTTTGGTTTGCATGCTTTCTTCCAAAGCTGTACTTGAGCTACAAGTCCATAGTAGCAAGAGGAGTTTTAACAGAGATTAAAGTGTTGTGGGACGGTTTGAGTAAAACATAGCCTTCCATGACAATGAATCACATGGCATTGCATAAGATAAAAAGTAAAGGGTTTCCCTTGACATTTAGTCCAGTCCTGTCCGACTCCAGAGGGTGGTGCTCATCCCCGTTTCCAAGCTGCAGACCCAGTGTTTGTCCATAGACAATTTCCATGGTCACGTAGCCAGCATGACTAGACACAGAACGCCTTTACCTTCCCACCATGGTGATACCTATTCATCTACTAGCATTTTTACATGCTTTCGAACTGCTAGGTTGGCAGGAGCTGGGACAAGCGATGGGAGCTCACTCTGTTGCATGGATTCGATCTTACGACTGCTGGTCTTCTGACCTTGCAGCACAGAGGCTTCTGCGGTTTAACCTGCAGCGCCACCACATCCCTCATGGCATTGCATAGCTTCTCAGAAAAAGGTTTATACCAGGAATTGATATTGGAGCGTTGTTCAGTTCAGATGTAATTGTCTGTGTCTCTGCTTTTGGGACATTAGAGGCAAGGAAATACAGAAGATGCAAATGGAATGGAAACCCACAACTCTAGTTCAGCTGCTACTGTTTGTACAGTATTGGTATACAGCAGAGAATGCTGCTTCTCTGGGTTTGTTATGATCAAAATTATCAGTGGTCATTGGGTTCCTTTCCTTGTTGCTGTTATTTGTTGCCAGTTCACCTTAACAGCAACCGGATAGGGTTTCCAAAGTATGTGAGATATTTATTTCCACAGTGTTATCCCCTCCCCAGGGAGTTTTCCATGGCCAAGCAGCAATTTAAACCTATGTCTCTTGAGTCTTAGTTCATCCACCATGCCACACTGCCAGCTCTCTCTGTTTTATCCACACTGTAATTTCTACATATTGTTTCTTTCTGCATAATTTGGGGTATCTGGACTAAGCATTTGCAGAGTTCTGCTACTTACTATCTACCACGTTTTGGGTTCATGTGTATTTGTCTCTTATCCAGTTACTTCATTTTTTAAAATGCCAAATACCTTTTAGAACTTGTAAAGTACCAGTGTTTAGGTGTAATAAATGTTTTTGTTTGTTTGTTTGTTTGTTTTGTTCTAGTATGCTGTTCTCTGCCTCCACGGATAAAACAGTAGCTGTGTGGGATAGTGAGACAGGCGAGAGAGTGAAGAGGCTCAAAGGACATACATCTTTTGTGAATTCTTGTTATCCAGCAAGGCGTGGACCTCAGTTGGTTTGTACAGGCAGTGATGATGGTACAGTAAAGGTCAGTATTCACATGATTTTCTTACAGAATAGTTTCAAAACTGAAAATAAGTTAAATACGTTATCCTTTTCCAGATGTTGAAGTAGTGCTGCCTACATAGCAAGCAGTGTTGTGGTAGCTTTGAGAAAGCAGCTGTCTGGAAGTTGCTGCCTAAAAGGTGCAAATGCTTTGGTTGCCCTTTTCGAAGGTGCGATGTGCTTGAGAGATCTAAGACTGTGGCAGTGTGATTTGATGGCAAGGCTTTCGGCGTGTATCTTGTAGCCACTTACCTCTGCACTAAAAAGACCTGGTGATAAATTTTTCAGTTTACAGCAGGACAGATTTTCATTTCTGTTTCAAGATACCATGGTTTTAATTAATGCTCTTCCCTGAAGTAGGAATATGACACTATGTATTGAAATTATATATACAATGTTTCTCTTTTAGGCTATTGTGTTGCTGAAATTCTTCCTACATTTGTGAATAGCTGAGGGCACATAATAATGGATAGTCATTGCACTCTTGCTTTAAGAATAAAAGACTACAGCATCATTAGCTTCTCTTGTTGTTACTGCTGTTTTAAAACTGCTCTTTGAAGGTGGCAGGGTGAAGTTAGTGTACGTTTTTACTTTATTAATCATATGAAAGGGGATTACAAGTGTAGGATTCTGCTTCTCAGACACCTGTATCCAAGGTATGGAGCTAGGCAGTGAAGTGATATCTTAACTGTAGATACAAAAACCACTGGCATGGCTTCACTGTTCTTTTTATGTATGTTAACCTGCTTCATACAATTAATATGAATAAGGTTTCAGTTCTGATAATATTTAGCTATTACTTTTAGGATTACCAGTATGGTGTAGTGGACAGAGTGGTGGATTAGGACTCTGGAGAACAGGGTTCGAATCCTGTCAGCAATGGAAACTCACTGGGGGAGTGGAACTGTTAAAACCATTCCTTAAAATATTACACTTGCCTTGAAAGTCCGGTTAGGATTACTATAAGTCAGTTCTGACTTGGTGGCACAGAACACGCACACTCTACTCTTAATAATTTTCAGTTATAGGATATAAAAAATATAATCTGAACTATTTCTCCCCCTGCCTCGTTTTTCCTCCAGCTGTGGGACATCAGGAAAAAAGCTGCTGTTCAGACATTTCAAAATACCTACCAGGTATTAGCAGTGACCTTCAATGATACTAGTGATCAAATAATATCTGGAGGCATAGACAATGATATCAAGGTAAGCTGAACTGCAGTTCCAGTAATTACAATAAACTTGCCATCTCTGTTTTCATTAAGCTGGTAGAGAATACAAGGAAGAAACATGGATTCCTATTTTTCTCTGCTAAAGGAAAAATAAGGTCTTTCTGTGAGCGTGAGTGGATCGTGCTATTGTTCTCCTTGCCAGGAACTTGCAAACACACCAGTCTATACTCATAGAAAAATATATGGTTTAAGCTTCTTATGAAAGTTGCTTGATCATGATTCACTTTTCAGATTACTGGTATCTCCTTAAAAATGACCTACTGAACATATTTGTTTATCTTCAAAGGTGTGGGACCTTCGTCAGAACAAACTGACTTATACAATGAGAGGACATGCAGATTCTGTTACTGGTCTCAGCCTTAGTTCAGAAGGCTCTTACTTGCTTTCCAATGCAATGGACAATACAGGTAGTATATCACTTTTATGTTTCAACAAAAGTAATATGTACACTAAAATACTCCATTGAGTAGGTGTTAGTTGATGACTAGTGTCTCAGAACTTGGTTAATTTTAGGAAAAGCTTTCCCTAACTTCAGATAACTGAATGGCCAGACAAAGAGTCAAGTGCAGTTACAGTACTCTGTAGAAGCCTATGATATATAAACTGACTAGCATCCTGTTTGAGTCACATCACTTGTGCAATAGACAAAACACAAGTGGTTTGGCCTTTTGGTGTACAAGGAGTATCCTGAATATTGTATGAGGATAAGCTTGTAATTCAGAATAGGGATCTCTGCTTGCATAAGACTAACATTTGCACAGATGGGAAATCCTGCGTGACTGCACCAAAAAAGGCTTTATGTTGGGCTTCCACCCAGTTTTAGCTTTTTTTCCCCCTGCCAGTAACATTACAGCTGCTAAAATATCACTGTCCTAACAGTATAGACCTAGCGGTAAATTACCGTAACCACCTGATATCACAATCACATTTTGCCTTCACCATCCTTAATAGCATACATATTTGCTTCTGACTGTAAATAAAATAAGTTCTCAGTATTACCAATCTGGCAGAACTGAGGACAGGTCATAAGAGTACTGTCGTGGGCTAATCACAGAATAATTGAGTTGGTAGGGGGTTATAATGCCATCAAGTCCAGCCCCTTGTTCAGTACAGGAATCCAAGTTATAGTATGCCAGCATATAATTCATGTACTGTAGTGGTGAGAGAATTGCGCTAGCGCTTGGAAAATCCAAGTTCTAATCCCTATGAAAGTAACTGGGTAAGCTTGAACACTGTCTCTCTTAGCCTGGCCTACCTCGTAGGATAGTTGTTACGAAGACAGAGTGGAGAGAGCTATGTGCATCACGTTGAGCTTGCTGGAGGAAAGATGGGATATAAATGTAGTTAATAGAAACTTTAGAGAATATCCATTTTGATGCTTAATTGCTTGTATGGATTTTGGTTTAGTTCGTATCTGGGATGTTCGGCCCTTTGCCCCTAAAGAACGGTGTGTGAAAATACTCCAAGGGAATGTACATAATTTTGAGAAGGTAAGTGAAATGCTGCTTTGTTATGAATGGCAGCTGAGAGTTAATTCATAAGGAAATGGATTTTAAATTTTTTAATTGCCTCAAACACTTAACAAGGGTCGTGCCTCAGAGTAACTTGTGAGGTGGGATTCCAATTAAAGCGGCTGCAACAAGATTTTCCTTCCCCTCAAACATAGCTCTAATTGTCTATAAATCAAATAGCTTGACATTTGCCATCTATTTCACATAAGATAATGAGATATTGGCTATTTCTGGCAATAAAATAAAGTATATAACTGCAGACTAATGTTTCATTACTGCATCCTTCTTAATATCTGAAACCTTGGTGGGTTTTTATTTCAAATAAAAATGAAAAGAATGAAGAAATATTTGGAATAGTACAGTGGGTTTTTGTTGGTTTTTGCCTAACAGAATCTGCTGCGATGCTCCTGGTCACCAGACGGAAGCAAAATTGCTGCTGGATCTGCAGACAGGTAGATATTCTCTGTTTCAGATTTGTTATCTTCATCTTAAGAGCATGAATTATTAAAAAGCACACAAGAGCCTGTTTGGCACTGGTAGCAGTCACTGTATTCTCTAAAATAATTTATGATAGTTTGAGCAAAAGTGCTCGAGTATTTCCGTTTTCCTTGTTTTAATTACTTAGATGCATGGTTCTAGAACCTATATCACTAGGAAAGATAACTCAATTGCAGAATCTCCTTCACTATACATAATTATTTTATTTTATTAAGATCTATTCTGCATATAAGTTCAATAAGCAGGGGGACAGTGTACAGCCTTGTACTCCTTTCCCAATTTTGAACCAATCAGTTGTTCCATATCCAGTTCTAACTGTTGCTTCCTGTCCCACGTATAGGTTTCTCAGGAGATAGATAAGGTGGTCAGGCACTCCCATTTCTTTAAGGACTTGCCATAGTTTGCTGTGGTCCACACAGTCAAAGGCTTTTACATAGTAGATGTTTTTG